GATGGGCGGGTGCCAAGGGCAGTCCTGTTGTCTTGAGGCCCTAGGTGGGCAGGCATTGGCACGCAGTCTCAGCCTTGCTCAGTGAAAGCTTTCCTGTGGCAGGGAGGAAAGCTCCCTGGGCTGCAGGAATCCAGTGGGTCTTTGGGGGGTGCCTTGTCCTCAGGGGGCCACAGCAGGGGCTTCCCAGGTCAGGCTGCTGAGGTAGTGTTCTCCTTGCAGTTGGAAGTAATAATGTCTTAAGTAACCATGTGTTATGAGGAGGCTTTCTTGGCCTGGTTCTGCTCCAGGTAGGCCTTCAGGAGCAGGGCCACTTTCCCCAGGGGTCATCCTCCATTCCCTTGCTCAGCTCATTTCTGTTTTAGGCTGAGAGCATGCATTTAAAAGAGGGATGACAGAGGTTAGGGCTAAGGCTGAGACTAGTATTCTTGAGCTGGACATAAGAGAAGCCTTTCAGAACTGTCCCACCATGAACTGTATTGCTTAGAGAGGTAGCGAGTTTCCCATCACTCGAGGACCCAGACAGAGACGGAATTGACCAAGCCCTGAGCATGGCAGCATGTTCGCCTGGAGGTCAGAGGCTGGTCTAGGTCATGGGGAAGGGCCTGGGGCCTAGAAAGGGACGTAATGGCATCACAGGGGTCATCAAGTCACAGCCTTTAATAAGTACCTACTCTGTGCCAGGCTCTGGAGACACAGTGGCAGGAAACTGAGGCCAGAGAGACGTGTCCTTCCCCAATCCCGTGGGCACATTCTCTCATTCCTTCTGTGGGTGCGGCACCTGAGGCCCAGACAGTTGAAGTGGTTGTCTAGCCTAAGGACACAGGCCGGTAACAAATTCAAATCCAGGTCCTACAGCTCCATGAGGCCAGGGATGCTTTGCGTTTTGTCTTCTGTTCCCCAGCACTGGGGAAGGGGCAGGGCCTCGCAGCATCTTTGCCTTCCCTCAGGAGGCTAGTACATGATTCTTCCGCTGTGGAAGGCCTCGCCAGCGTCTGCAGCAGATGAAGGCAGCTTACCTCTGGCAGAGCCTCTCAGCTTCATTTACTCTGGGTGTTGGGGCTTTTTTCCCTCTGGCCTTATTTATTTGCTTTTCCAGTAACTGCTCGACCCCAGACAAAAGACAAGAGCAGGCCTTTTCCAGGAAATTAGATCAACGTTCTCGGGTGGCCTATTTCACACTCAGCAGAAGCCTGGCTGGCGCTTGACCTGGGTGGTGGGGCACAGGTGGGCCTCAGAAGTGCCATGTGCTTGGGTGGAGGGCCCGAGACGCCAGCAGTGCCTGCTTCTTCTCCCTCAATGGGTTCATTTCAGGTGGATGTTCTGAGTTGGGGCTAATCAGCATGCCATCTGTCCTATGCCACCTTCTTGCCTGGAGACTTTTTCTCCAACCCCGAGGCACCTCTGAGGGATGTGGAGGGGGGGAGAGAAGAGGAAAACAGAAGAGGCCTGGAGGGCAAAGCTCCAGCCAGGCTTGGTTGGTGGTGACTGCACCGCTGGTTGTCTGATTTGGGGAGCTTGGTGTAGCGGCATGAGCGATGGACAGAAAGGCAGGAGACTGGGCTTCCAGGCCCTGTTTTGGCCCTGACTGGCCACGGGACTTGGGACGGGGACTCTGTTCTTCATCAGTACGATGTGGAGACGCAGTCCGGTGTTCCCCTGCTTCCCAAGGGGCGATGGGGGATCAGAGAGGGCTCGTCGGTCAGTCGCTGCGTGTGGAGTCTTTGCAAGGTCAGAAGGTTCTATTCCACTGGGGGAGACGCGTGCATATGTGGGTGTATACGAGATAATCCCAACGTGGTGGGACCCGCGGGGCAGAGCGGCATCAAAGCTGACTGACTCCAGATGTCTTCTTGGCTGTGATAGTGAATCACAGGAGCCCCCTTTCCTTTACCAAATGCTTCAGCAGACATTCTAGTGTTGGCAGAATCTGAACCCAGGTCTTCCCAACCCCAAGCCCAGCACTCTGCCCAGCAGCACACTCCCAAAGGAGCTAATGCCTTGGCAACGTGCCGTGTTTGTAAAGTACTCTGTGAATCTGAAGGGTGAGAGTGCAGTGTTAAAATGTCAGGGCTTAAGTTGGCTGGCATGGAACTAGGGAGCCTCACCCTGCCCCACGGGCACAGACTACACCAGCCATTTCACCGGGCCCTCCGCTGTGGGGGGAGTCAGCCCCCACTGACTTGTGGGTAACGAGAGTGCTGTGGCTCTCAGACTCCCCTGGGGTACCCTGCTCCTCCGGTACCACCCTGGAGAGAGAAGAGAGCTTTCCAGCCGGAAGCCTCTGGCCCTGGCTCCAGCTCTGGCCTCCTCACCTCCAGCAGAGGCCATGCTGCTCTGGCTCAGGCACTGCCCCGCCTGCCCTCTGGAGCCTCTGCGGCCCGCTCCCCACTCCTTAGCATTTCACCTTTGTTCCCAGAAATGGCTTTTCTGCTTCCCACCAGCTGTCACCTCCTTTGCTGAGAGCCACAGCCTGCTGGAAAGCAGCCAGAGCCCTTGTAGGGGGAGGACACCCCACCACCTGCCGCCAAGCAGAGGCCCTGTGTTAGGTCTTGCGGGGTGGGTCAGAGCGCTTGTGATTTTGCTGTGTTTTGTGTCTTACTATCTCTCTTGTGCATCACAGAATGTCAGACACGAGAAGTCCTCCAGGCCGGCCCCTTTATTTGCTTGGGAAGGAAACTGAGGCCCAGAGAGGGGAAATGTTCTTTCCAACACGCCCCAGGGCCCTCTGTGTAGGATGCCAGGCAGATCCTTCCAAAGGCCAGGCCTGTTGGAGTTTGGGGAATGGCTGCCAGGCAGGAGAGCTCAGGTTTCAGAATTTCTCAACTGGGCTGGTGTCCAGGAAGAGTGTGTGTGTTTCGTTTCTGAACTGGGAAGACCAGATCCACCTACCCAGAGTGCATCACCAGGCTAGAGTGGCAGAACCTCTCTGGGGTCTGGGGAACAAACAAGCTTAGGAGTTTCTCTTAGTGTCATAGGGAGACAGAGCTGCCCGAACCATCCTGGGGGAGGAAACCTGCCAATCAGGGGGAGCCAAGCCATTTCTCAGAGGGTGCATGGGTCTCTCAGGGCGGGAAGAGGTCTTGAGGTCTGGGGGAACCCCAAATGTGAATGGAATAAGGACGTTCCCTGCTGCTCCCAACCCCAACCCTGACAGGTCCCTGGCAAAGGCAGAATCCTATTCTCATCTGGGGGGGGCCATGGGGCAGCATGCCACTGTGGGGCTCCTGCCACCTCTGAAAGTCCTCAGGGCAGGAGAATGGGGGTGTCTGGCCCTGACGGAGGTCTCCCTAATGCCCTCACCCCAGAGTCCCTGAGCGAATGGAAGAAACATGATGCCCAGAATGTTTCCAGCCTCTGGGGCTAATCACTGCCCCTCACGGGCCCTCCCTTGGCTCCTGGCTGGCGGGCGTGACAGGCTGTCCTCAGGCGAACTGGGAAAATGCCCTTTCCTTGGCCTGGATAATGTAACGGCTTGTGATAACTCCATCGCTTCCTGCTCCCTAAGCCCTGGAAGAGGGTGTGTGTGTGTGCATGCGTGTGTGCACCCGAGTGCACGTGTGTGTTTGGAGGTGATGGGGGGCCAGTTGAGGGCGGGGGAAGAGGTTGAGGTAAGGGGACAGTTGGGACAGCAGTTGCCCCAGCACTCTGGTGGACCCCACTCTGAGCTCATAGCCATAGGAGAGATAGAAGGTATTTCTCCCCAACTCTAGGACTTCGAGAAGAAGCTGTTGGCATCAGCAGGCCTGTGCGTTTGTCGGCTGCTGTTTGAAGCGGGGTACGAGTAGAAAGGGACCTTGGCTTCTAGCTTGAGCCCCTGGCATGGGTGCCCTTGTCCTGGCTTTCCAGGGGTCCAGAGTGCAGCCTCTCCCAGAACAGCTCTGGGCAGGTGTGGGGAAGGCAGCTGGCCCTGACTTGCTTTCTCCCTCCTGTCCCTGCAGCCCCTCCAGAGGTCTGCTAACTGCATACCCAGGAACTGCTGAAGGCCGGTCATTTGTGCAGTTGCCCTGGCATCTCCCAACGTGGTCGGGGGGGGCGTGCTTTTGGAGCCCTGGGTGCCCGTGAGCCCCTAGCCCAGGCTCAGGGCAGAGGGCAGGGAGGGTGTTGGGGACCACATGGCCAAAGCTTGTGTGCTCTAGGGGATGGATGAGGCCTTGGCGGGGGCAGCTGAGGGGGTCTCTCACACCAGCCTCTCAGAGGCCTTCTTCAGAGAGCTCTGCCTGTGTTGGGGCTGCCTCAGGCTGTCTGATTCACCCGCTTACCTCAGCCTGTTGGCATGTGAGTGACGTGGGAGTCTGAGCTCTGTTGGGGGCTGGCTACCTTGAGATCCTTCTTTTAGAGAAGCCAAGGGCTCCTTGTCAGACCAGGGATTCCCCCAGGGTGTGGGCTGTTAGTTGTCTTCTCGTTCAGGCTGATTTTGGCCCCCCTTATCTACCTGGGGTCTCCCCAGAGAGCCCCGTTTAGATTTGTTTTCATCCGTCCCACAGAGCGCTTCCTGGTGTTCCCCTCTTGGGGGCTTAGCTGGGTGGGTCTGGGTCACCTACATTTGCTCCTTCACTCACTGTCAAGGGGTCGGCCTCCTGGGGAAGTGACTTAGCTCGGCTTTGGGGATGAGAGCTGGCCATCACTGGCACTGCATTACCGGGAGGGGGGGATTGCCTAAATTTTATTCCAGGAACTTTCAGGCAGCTCCGACTTCCCTCTATCCCAGGGCGTGGGGGAATTAATCCAGATTAGCTTTGTGTCGTGGGGGCATGGGGAAAGGGTATATGTATGTGTGTTTGTAGTATGGTGTGTTATAGTGTATGTGGGGTGTGGGTGTGGTATGGGTGTGTGTATGGTGTGTGGGTGTGTGGTGGGGTATGTGTGGCACGGGTGTGTATGTGATGTGTGTGTGTGTGTGTGTGTGTGTGTGAAAAATGAGAGTGCAACCTGGGTGGGCAGAGGGAGGCTTCCATGGGAACAGCAGGGCATCAGGTGGAAACGTACCCCTCTCTCCACAGCAGACTGCGCTCCTTCTGCGGCTTCCAAGGCGCACTCTCCCCTGACCCATCCCTGGCAAGGCGGTGGCAAGGCCGGGCGCCACCATGAACGAGGTGTCCGTCGTCAAAGAAGGCTGGCTCCACAAGAGAGGTGAGGAGGGGCTGTGGGGGAACACAGGGCCCACGGGCCTAGATGGGATCTCCCCCAAGACACAAGAGCCATTCTGAGCTCTAGACCCAGAGTCAGGCCTGGCTTCAGTCCCAGCTGTGTGACCCTGAACAGGTCTCTTAATCTTCTCTGGAGAATGAGCTGTTGGAGTCAGTGATCTTTGAGGGGTCCCCTCTGCTCTAGCAGTGATTGCCGGATCCCTCCATGTGGTACCACAGTCAGAGTTGACAGCTGGAGAGTGTTGGAAGGCGGGCGTGGTGGCTGCCATCTCCCAGCACCCCAGAGGACTTGACAGGGCTAGTCACCTTTCTGGACCCCAGTTTCCTTATCTGCAAAATGGAGATGCTATGCGTCCCAGCTCCTTCCCAAGACCGTTGTGGAGAAAGGCCTATGCAAACGTTAGGGCACCAGAGAAATGTTGGGAGGCAGTGCTGTTAGCCCGCTCGCACTGGATGGACACAGCTGGCATTGGCTTCCTTGTGCCCCATGCAGAGCCCTGCTGCTGGTCTGGGAGCTGCCCTCGGCAGGGAGGAGGAGGGCAGCAGCAGCAGCCATTGGGAGGGAGCCACTGGGGAATGAGCTGGCCTGCTGGGCCCCGGGGCACACGGGGAGGCTGTACCAGTGGCATTGGGGGGCCAGGGCCTGGCAAGGCTCTTCATTCACTCAGTGGCATTCCCTGAGTAGTTGCTGCTTTTGTGTTTCATCCTGAGTCCTTGGTGCGAGCCAGAGCTGGTGGGCCTGTCTCTCTTGGGCGCTGAGGGGGCCAGTGAGATCCCCAGGCTGATGCAGGGTGGAAATAAGGGCTGTCCTTAGAGCAGCCAAAAGGACCCCAGTCCTCAGGAGTCACCTCCAGGGCATCTGTCTTCACCTCGTACCTGGAGCCTCCCATGCCTGCTTCCTTGGCCCTCTCCTTGGCTTTCCCTCTCCCCAGAGGCCAGGCTTCTCACAGTGCCACCTTCTGCAGGCACCAGGAGAGCAGTAGCTGCCATGGGGGGAGCCACTGATTGAGTGCCATTTGGGCAGAACTTCTGGGGCCTGGGCCAGCTTCTCTCCCACCTTCCTGACAGGGACCTCCAGGTCCCTCTAGCATTTCAGCTCCCATTGAACCTCCTGGTTTTTCACCAGGAAAAAGCCTGTCCCCCCCGAGGCCAGGCTGGCATCATTGCTTCACAGCAGATTTCTTTGGGGTAAAAGGGACTCTGCCCAGGCCCACAACATAGCTCCAGCCTATCCCCATGAGAGCAATGGCCATGGACCAGGAACAATTTCTCTCCGAGTTGCTAGAGATGGGGTGGGGGGAAGGAGAGCCCCCAGTCGGGGCCGGAGGCCATGAAGCAGCCCGGCTCATTCCTGGGGTTGCTGCCTCGGGGGTATTGCAGCTAGGGAGCAGCACGTCACATGGTGACCTCTGCCACACTTGGGTCTTGCCCAGTGCCTGGCCCTGTGTCAGCCAGAGGCCCCTTCCCTCCCTCTCCTCCCAGACCTGATGCCGCCATAGGGTTTCTCTCCGAGAACAGGCGTGTTCTCTTGCCCTCTCTCCTCCTCCCTTTGCTCGATTCTCCCTCTCCCCCTTCCCATCTCCTCTTCTTTCTTTGCCGCCCCTTCCCCCAGTCTCCCTCCCAGTCTCTGTTGTTGCTGGCTCTCTGATGAGTCACTCCCCAAGCATCTGCAGCCTGGAATGTAACTGAGCTCCAAAGGGAGCCAGGATCTGCCTGTGTCTCCATCGCCCATCTCCAATAGGCCCACCCCCTGGGCCCTAGGTCAGCTGTGCTTCAGTGGACCCCAAGTCAGCCCCAAGGCCCTCTCTTGGGATTAGCCTAGGGCCGTAGGAGCCTGCTTTGCTCAGACCTCTCTTCTCTTTTCAGGTGAATACATCAAGACCTGGAGACCTCGTTACTTCCTGTTAAAAAGCGATGGTTCATTCATCGGCTACAAAGAGAGGCCAGAGGTCCCTGACCAGAGTTTGCCCCCTTTAAATAACTTTTCTGTAGCAGGTTTGTTGAATGAAGTTTTGAGGGGAGTTGGATTAAAATACCCCCTACCTTGAGCATTTGGCCTCCTGAGAGCATAGGCCCCTCTTTCCAGGCCCCGGGGCCAGGGGCCCATCTGCCCTTCAGTCAGGGGGTGTCAAGAGTTCAGGTTTATTTCACTCTTTACCATATGCTATCCCCACAGTGACACTGAAGGGTGGGCAGTGGGGAGATAGAGGCCCACAGAAAGGTGGCAACTTGCCCCCAGCCACACCATCCCTCAGTGGCGGGGCTGTGGCACCCAGGCCAGGGCTGCGCCTGTGTGACAGAGTCATCCGTGGCCACAAGGACCGACCAGGTGCAGCACGGGGCTAGCCCAAGGCCAGTGGGTTCTTTGTGAGGTAGTGGGAGGCATGGGGCCTGACTCGATTACAGAGGATGATGTTGGGTAATTCCCTTAACCTCACTGGTCCTCAGTTTCTTCATCTGTAAAATGAAACTCTCTAAGGCCCCTTCCAGCGCTAAGTCCAGTTTGGCTGTGAGAAGAGCAGCTAAGACCATAAGAATTTTACTGCTCAGTTCATCCCAAGTCCCCCCTTGTGCAAAGAGTGAAATCCAGGCCTCCGCAGGGTCATCCAGGACGTTCATGGCAGATCCGGGCTTTGAGCTCAGGATTCCTGCCGCCCTCCACTGCCTCTCCTCTGGGGCTCCCTTTGTCCCTGCTTTCTGCTGGTCCTGGGTTCCAAAGGCAAGAGGTGAGCCAGGTGGTCCTCAGGGCACTTCCATTCTCCTAAGCATGTCAGCCAGCTCTGAGCTGCATGCCCTTTTACCCAGCGTGGACGCTGAGCCTCAGGAGAAGGGAAATGGCTCGTCCAGGGTCACACAGCCAGATCTTCCCGACTCCACTTCTGGTGTTCCTCTCCTGGGGCTACACTGCCCCTCGAGATGGGGGTTTTCCTGATGCCCCCTTCCCTCCAGGCGGGGCTCTTGACTGGCTGCTGCTGGAGCCTGTGGGAGGGTTTGGCTCCCTGTCTCAGAGGGCCAGGATTCGAGGTGGGGGCAGACGGAGGGAGTCAGAGCACCTGGCTTCCCGTATTCTTTGGGCCAAAGCCGAGCTAAGAGAAAGTCCTGCAGAGGCTGTCTGGCCATCTCAGCAGGGACCAACTGTCTCCCTTTGGGAACAGAGCCTTGTCCAAGCGTGTGTGCCCAACAGCAGTGAGATGGGACCCATGAGTGGCCACCATGCTTCCAGCCTGGGGGAAATGGGGAGATCTACTGTCAAAAAACAAAATGCAGAAAGTCATTATGCAGTCATTTCAAGAGAGAGGGCCTGGCGAGGGGGCGGATTGGGAAGAGCCACATGGAGAAGGTGGCATCCGAGCTTGGAAGGAAGCCGGCCCTTGGGGGAAAGGGCTGCCCTGGCCTGTGCTCTGATTGCCTCTCCCTCCCTCTCCCTTTCCCTCTAGAATGCCAGCTAATGAAAACAGAGCGACCTCGGCCCAACACCTTTGTCATCCGATGCTTGCAATGGACAACGGTTATCGAAAGGACCTTTCACGTGGATTCTCCAGATGAGAGGTGGGTCTTCTGCCCCTGGGAGGGGGAGCCCCAGGCTCCTGTGGGAGCAGCCAGCCCCTCGTCCTGGCTGTTTCTCACTTACTTGGCCCCCTTATAATTTTTCCTGGCACCACCACTGTCTCTGTTGATTCCTTGTGATGTGACAGTGGCTTGAAGATAAGGCCTTTTATACTGGAAACATTTAACTGTTACCCCCCTTAGTCCACTTGGAGCCACTCGAGCCAGAGAGATGTTGGAGTGGGTGGGCCGGCTCCAGGAGGTCATCTCCAGCAGCACCAGGGTGGGCTCGGGGCCTGGGAGCACAGGGGAGGCTCCGAGCCACACCCATGAGAGCTTCCCTTTCTCCGAAGCACTTTAGAGCGCACAGAGCCCTTTTACCCAACCTGGACACTGAGCCTCAGGGGAAGGGAAATGGCTCGTCCAGGGTCACACAGCCAGATCTTCCCGACTCCACTTCTGGTGTTCCTTTCCTGGGGCCACACTGCCCCTTGAGGTGGGGGTTTTCCTGATGCCCCCTTCCCTCCAGGGGGGCTCTTGACTAGCTGCTGCTGGAGCCTGTGGGAGGGTTTGGCTCCCTGTTTCAGAGGGCCAGGATTCCAGGTGGGGGCAGATGGAGGGAGTCAGGGTACCTGGCTTCCTGTCCTAGCCCCTCCGCTCCTTACCTTCACCTCCCAGGCCCCCGTGTCCTTTGCCAGAAAAAGAAGGGCTGGAGAGAACCTCAGGCCTCCCAGCTCTGATCTCTTGCTTCTCTTTTCCTGTGTCTGGTAACTGATGGAGGTAGAGCATCGTGAAGGGAATGTGGTGGACTCGGTTGTGACATTTGAGTGTGGTCTGTGGCAGGATCCCAGGTCTCCTCCTCTTTAGGAAGTAGCTTTGTGACCCTGGGCAAGTGACTTTAGCTCTCTGGGCCTCAGCTTCCTCATCTGTAAAGTTGAGAGGCGGAGGGGCAGACCAAATGATCCCTCAGGGCCTTTCCAAGCTCCTTTCCATCCTCTCAAAGCTTGAAGGAGGTATTTTAGGATGCATAAGAGTCAGACAGGGGTTGGGTTGGAAATGGAGACTCAAGTAAGGTGTCAGGGTGTCTCTGGCTTGGTCTCACCATTATGTGAGGGAAGTTTGCAGTGTTTGAAGCCCACCAATGGCCTTGTGATGTTCTGAAGAGTGACCATGCCCCGGAGCCCCTTTCAGGTGGATCCTGCCTGCCCCGGGTCCCCTTCCTTGGTGGCCCCATCAGCATCTCCTTGTGTCCCCGCCTCTTATCTCTCTCCTGTCCTAGCCATTCTCCACCCACTTGCTCAATCAGTATTCCTATGGCACAAGCCTGACCAGGTCACTCCTCAAGAACCTTCTTCTGAGATCAAATGCAAGCTCCTCTTTTTGTCATTTAAAGCCCTTCATAGTGTGGCTGCAGTCTGTCTAGACTTCCCTCATGCCTCTCCTCACACGGTTCTTGTCTTGTCCTGTCTTGTCTTTTTTTGGTGAGGCAATTGGGGTTGAGTGACTTGCCCAGGGTCACACAGCTAGTGAGTGTTATGTGTCTGAGGCTGGATTTGAACTCAGGTCCTCCTGACCTCAGGGCCGGTGCTCTATCCACTGCACCACCTCGCTGCCCCTCACACGTACCTTTTCTGACTCAACTGACTGCTTTGCTTTTTCCCATACCTGACGTTCAGTCTCCACGGAAATTGTCTAGGTAAAGTCCTAGGGAAACGTTTGATGTTGTTGTCCCTGTTGTCATTGCCATCTCCTCCCTCCACGCCTTTGTCCAGGCTGACAGGCCTCGCTGCCTGCATAGTTCTCCTCCCGGTCTTGGTCGCTCAGAATTCCGAGCACCTCCTTTGAGATGAGAGCCAGGCCTGCCCCCAGCCTTCACGTGGGCTTTTCTCCTCGGGGTACACGTTGATTTCCCGAGCCCCCCAGAGCGTCAGCTCCTTGAGGGCAGGGGCCGCTTCCTTTCTGGCTTTGTATTGCCGGTACCTGCTGTAGCGCCTGGTGCTTGGTGAGCTGAATTCCAAAGCTAGGACCTTGGACTTGGAGGCTGGGTCGTGGGGTCCCAGATTTCAAGCCAGGAGGAAGCTTAGAGGCCATTGAGTGAAACCCCTTCATCTTACAGAGGAGCGCAGTGAGGCCCGCTCCCTGAGGCTGAGTGAGTTAGGGTTGGTCGGAGCAGGATTTAAACCCAGATCTTCCTGCCACCGAGGCTGCTGCTTGTTCAGCGGTGTTGTGTTCAGGCTGCACCCAAACGCTGGACTCCTCTTGGGCCCACGCAGGATGGCGACCGGTTGGCCGTCTTTCTCTGCCCTGTTCTCTTGGTCCTGCCAAGGAGGGCTTTGGAGAAAGCCACAGAACTTTTCCTGGGGGATTCTGAACCCTGCGAGCTCCTGCCCCGATCCAGTTGGAACTGGGCCTCCAGTGCAGTGCTTTTGACCTGTACTCTCCCCTTCCTGGGACACATATCCCTCTACAGAGCCTTTTGTGGTTGGGGGAAATGCTCTTCTGCCACTATTTAAAGGCCTGATGGCCAGGCCTGGCCTCCCGGCAGACTGGTAGTGAGCTCCCTCAAGAGGCCCGGTACATGTGCTTCCTCTGGTCCAGGCTTTAGTGTAGAAAGGAATGAAAGACGTCATTGTCCGTGTCCCTGGTTCAGGACAGGACCACACTTATGTCCCTGACTCCAGGAACCGCTGGCCCTCCCCCAAGGTAGGGAGGTCTCCCCCAATGTCAGCTTTCTCGTTTGAAGCCAGAACCCACCCCACCCCCCGCCCAAGGCCAGGAATGGTGTTCTCCTACATAGGGGATGCCCAAACTTCCTTTTCCTTCTTGAGAATGTCTGCATTTGCTATCGCCCCAAGTGGAGCAGAGTGGCAGCATCTCCTTTATCCAGAATGTACGTGGCTAGTTGGGATAAAGAGAGACCGTGGGATGAGAAGTCAGCAGAACCAGGTGTCATCGGAGGCTTCTCCATGCACGAGCTGTCGTGGACCTGGAATGGGCCTCTTCCCTTCTCTGTGGGCCGGGCAGAGACCAAAGAAAATGGGCCTGTGAGCCTGGAGAAGGGTCTGGAATTATGGGCCCCGAAGGGCTCCTCTGGTGCTCTTCTTGACCCTGGAGCAAAGGGAGATTGGGATAGAAGCAGGAAGGAATGAGCCAACATACTGGCTGTGAGGATTGGGTAAGGGTGGTGAAAGGACTCGGAGAAAGCCTTTGACCTTGACCAGTGGAGTGGAGGGCAAAGGTGGGGGGAGGAGTGTGGGTGGGGAGAGAGTACCTCTCCCTCCACAACCCCCTCAAATTGCTGGGGAGTGCTGCCCCGGAGGGCAGAAGTCCCAGGATTGCTGTGACATCTGAGCTCTGTGTCACTGCCCTCAGAGTAGTTGCGAAATTCATTTGGCCCGCTGGTCAGCGTGCCAGCAATCTGCTCCTTGCCCCATTGTGGCCCGGGGCCCTCCTCAGGCCCAACCATGCCCATCGACTCAGTCCATTTTAATTCAGCAAGCATTTACAGGGGCTGCACTATTAGCCAGCCCCACGTGTCCTTTGTGCCCAGGTGTGACCAGAAAAAGCAGGATCCCCAAACCTGACAGCTCTTTACAGTGGGTGCTGTCCAGTACTGACTCTGCCTCCAGTGAAGGCAGATGAGAACACTCACTTTTGGAACATGGTAGCAAGGAGCCAGAGGCACGGAGAAGCGCGGAGGGCCTCCAGAAGGCCAGGCCCCAGTTACAGGACACTCGCATGCACTGGTCACCCAGCCCAGAAACACTTAAGGAAAGGGCCAGCCACCCTGCGGAGGTGCCCAGGAACAGAGGGCGTAAAGCCAATTCTAGCCTTAAAAGGGAGGTCTCTTTCAGCGGTTCTCTTGTCATGAGTAGGAGTACTTGAAAGGATCTGTGACCTCATTCGGGTGGGCCACAGCCCCACCGTGGCTCATAAGGGGGCCTGCATAATGTGTTGTGGTCCCCTTCATCGTCTCTGGGTGGTGAGGCAGGCTGGGCCTCGGATGATAAACCTTTGGCCCATGGCCAGGCCCTCTCAGTGTGCTGGGTGTTCTGAGAACGGGAACCACCTCTGCACTACCGTGAGTGTCAGGGAAGGGCAGCTGGGACAGAAATTTTAAGTTTCCAGGCACTCTGAGCCAAAAAGCCACACGTGGCGGATGAAATAAGGCCGTGGTCTGAAGGTTCATCACCTCTGGGGCCACTCTGGTAAGGCCACATGTAACATGAATCGACATAAAGGTCAGAGCGTTAGCTGGCAGAGGACAGGAAGGAGCCACATCTTGGAAATGGCCAGGGTGGAAGTTGTCAGCTCAGTCTGAATGAATCCTGTGACATGTCTGCCCCCCAGAGGGGCTGCCATCTTAGCGTCCTGGAGGTGGCTCAGACGAGAGAGGCAGCTGGCCCACCATTCTCTGCCAGTCAGAGCCTCTCCAGGGTGAGATCCACCTGAACATTGCTGACAAAGCGCCGCCTGTTTACAGGAGGGCACGTTACAAAGTGATTTCAGGAGGGAGGGACCTGAGAAAGCCCTCATGTTGGAGGTGAGGCAGAGAGCCTTGCAGGCATGGAGGACAGCCAGTGCAAAGGCTCGAAGGTTGGAGATGGGAGGATTGCATATGGTGGTCATCCAGCAGGCTGGTTTGACTAGAATGAAGGGGACGTAACACGGAGGCCGGAAGGGCCCACTCCAAGCCTGGGAGGCCCTCAGAGGCCCCTCTCTGGCAGCGCCTTCTGGGTCTTCTGGCTGGCTGACAGCCCTGCGGTGGCTTGTGTCTGTCACTTAGGGAGGAGTGGATGAGGGCCATCCAGATGGTGGCCAACAGCCTGAAGAATCAGGAGCCCGTGGAAGACGCGATGGACTACAAATGTGGCTCCCCCAGTGACTCCTCAGTGGCCGAGGAGATGGAAGTGGCTGTCAGCAAAACACGGACGAAGGCGGTGAGCCCTTGGGCTGGGGATGTATGGGGGATGGCGGCCCCTGGCCCGGCTGCAGGGTGCCCACACCTCTTGGGATTTTTTGAATGAAGCAGTTGACCGCTCCAGGGCAACGCTTCAGGGGATGAGACACTTGTAGAACAAGGGAAGGCCAAGATTAACCACCTGTGGGCCTCCTTGCACTGTGGGCCTGCCCACATCACCTCCGCCAGGATCCTGGCCAGGGGCCTGGGGGGAAGCTGGGGGCAGGAGCTGTGCTCTGCTGGCCAAAGGCCACTTCAGGGAAAACAGTTACCAATCTGAGCTCCTCTTGCCCCCGCACGAGCTTTTTGTAGCGGGATCCACTGATAAAACCCAAGCCCACCACACAAAGCCTGCTCTCTGTCCCCCACAGACCATGAATGACTTTGACTATCTCAAGCTTCTGGGCAAAGGCACCTTTGGCAAAGTCATCCTGGTGCGGGAGAAGGCCACAGGGCGCTACTACGCCATGAAGATCCTGAGGAAGGAGGTCATCATCGCCAAGGTGGGCCAGCACACTGCCCAGGACAGGGCGCCCCTCGTGTGCAGCTGCAGGCCAGCCTGGTTCTCGTTCAGCCATTTTTCAGTCATGTCTAGTCTCTGTGACCCCATTGGGGGTTTTCTTGGCAGAGACACTGGAGTGGTTGGCCATTTCCCTCTCCAGCTCATTTTACAGATGAGGAAACTGAGGCAAGCAGGGTGAGGTGACCTGCCCAGGGTCACACAGCTGGAAAGTGTCAGAGGCCAGAGGCCCAGCACTCTATCCACAGTGCCACCTGGCTGCCCACTGTAGATGCAGACATACTCCATGTAGGACAGGGTGCCGCCTTGTGGCTCAGGGTGGGCCAGTCTGGAAGTTGACTTGTACCACATGCTAAAGGAGAGAAAACTGAGTCCCCATGGACTTCAAGGACGGGGCATCCAGACAGATGCAGACAGACAGAAGGACGGGGTCCTCTTGTGGGTCAGAGGGCAGGGGCAGCTGGGCAGCTGTGTGCCCATAATGACACTTTAGATAAGACACAGGTGCCCCCTTGTGGCTCCGAGAGAAGGACAACCCAGCAAGTATGTTCACGTAGCGAGTTAGAAAGCGCACTCCAAGCAGGGGCCGTGGAGAAGGAGGCACCTTGTTGATCCAGAGAAAGACTGCTGTCCTCCCAGGGCGATCCCTGCTCCTAGGGAGGCCAAGGCCAGTGGGCATCTGCAGCTCTGGAGGCCTAAGTGTCAGGGGGCCTCTGGGCAGCCTCAGTGGGCTGGGCTGGGCCTGCTGGATGAAAGGAAGCAGACAGATGCTCCTGTGATGGTCTGGAGTGGGCTGAGGTTCCCATGGGACGCCACTGCCCCGCCACCCAAAACTCCCCCCACAGCCGTCCTGGGGGGCAAGGAGCCCAGGTAATGGTCCCCTTTGACAAACCGAGAGAGTGCCTCGCCAGCTCCTGGGGCCCCATCTAGTGTGTGTTGGCCTGAGGCTGGGCCTGGGTGCAAACAGGATCCAAGTCACTTTGGGCAAGTCACATCTCTGTTCCAGGCAGTTAGACAAGAAGGCTGTGACAGCCCTGCCTTGTGACAGGTTAGCTGCTTAAGCACCTGGTGAATACAGGGCTTCTCTGTAATGGGAGCGGGTGACCCCGACTTTTCCTGTCAGGGTAGTACCTGCAGAGGTGGCCTAGACCCTATGGCCGAGCCATTGATGCATTTCCAATGCCTGCGTGTGTGTGTGTGTGTGTGTGTGTGTGTGTGTGTGTGTGTGTGTGTCTGTCTGTCTGTCTGTCTGTCTGTCTGCAGGATGAAGTTGCCCACACAGTCACTGAGAGTCGAGTCCTACAGAATACCAGGCACCCGTTTCTCACAGTAAGTAGGTCGGGTCTGTCCATTCCAGGGCAGCCCAATACAAACCCCTGGGAAGAGGCCCGGTTCCCTGTAGAGCAGCATTCAGCACTGTATCCCCGTGCAGGGCTCGCCTCCCAGGCGAATGGGCCAGCGAGGCAGCCCTGTTGGTGGCGCTTCAAAGGGCGTCTCTTTTTGTGTTGATGCCATCCTCAGTGTCACTGTCACTTCCCAATACCCCCCTTGCCCTCCCACCCTGGGGAACCGAGAAGCATGTTGGCCAGGAGATGACCTCACTCACCATTGCTGGTGGTCCACCAGTCTGCTGAAGCAGGAAGCCCATCGGAGCATGTTCTTCCCGTGGATGCTGTATGGAAGGAAGGCCCCCGGACTTCAGGCACTCCCATGGCACCCACCCATCGTGGCAGCATCTTCCGGTACCTCTCCAGCCCCAGGGGCCATGCTTCCTGAGGCAGCCTGTGCGGAGCTGTCTGGAAAAGCCTGAGAGTTTATTGAGCTAACAAAGCATCCCTTTGTATGGCCAGTTCTTTGGGCAAGGCCAGCCAGGATTTTTCCTAGTTATCTTCCTCTCTTTGCGAACTCAAAGATCAGCCCTCCAAGTGTCAGAGGCTGTAGCAGAGACTTCTCTGGGTTCAGTCCCCTTGACCTTACCCCCCTTCCCCCCGGTCACCTTCCTCCTGCTAGAGCAGCCTGTCCGCCACGAGGCACACAGCTTCACGCTCAGGACTGCTGACCTTCCTCCCCATGATCACCTTCCCCCCCCTTGGTCCCCTTCCTCCTGCTAGAGCAGCCTGTCCACCTGATACTCCACACTCAGGACCACTGATCTGTCTGCTCCATTGTCTCTAGAGATGCTCTTGCTTGGTTGAGGTTCATTCTAGGGATCCAGGAACGCTTTTCCCTGCACTGCCTCTGGCTGTTCTGGGGGGGCGATGTTGCCACAGTCCTCCCAGCATCCTCCCCAGACACTGCACGTAGGAGCTTGTTCTCAAGCCCAGCCCTGCCTTGTTTCCTCCTAGTAAGGAGAGTCAGGGTTTGCTGGCTGAGCTTTGGACCCTTTGGCCTCCCCTTTGTCTCTTGCTCTCTAAGTTAGTGGCTCCACACTGGAGTGAGGCATGCGAATCTTCTCCAGTGGTAGAGATCATAGACCTCCGAGTCTTCTTGCCCGTGTCTTGTCCTTGCTTCGTGCCCTGCAGGCCTCCTTTGTGTCTCCACATTCTGGGCAGCCCCCGGACTTGTCACCTGCTATCTCTAGTGCTCTTACCTCCAGTGACCTCTTTGCCACTTCTAGAACCTGGGGCACCATTGATGGTGGGCTGCAGTCTGCTTAGGCGCGCCCACCCCCGACTTGTTTCTTCCCTGTCATTTGGGTTCCCTGCAGCTTTGTTTCTTTGGAGGTGGTGGCATCCGGTGCTGCACAATCCTAGAGCATCACTAGAAGGACCTTAGCACCTTCTGCCGATGTCTCTTGGCCAGCCCTCTTCATCCTGTTCACTTCGGAGTCTGTCTCTGGGGCCTGTGCAAACTGTGGGTACCAATGGAGGAGGTCAAAGGACCACATCCAGTTTGGATGCATTGCTTTTTCCTGTGTGCACTGTCCTATGGTCTCTGGAGTGACTGTGGGTCTCTGAAATGGTTCTTTAGTTTTCTGTGGTTTGATATAGTCAGTGCATCTGAACTTTACCACTGAAAGCAAATCCCTTGTCCACATGGACTCTGCCCAAGGCCTTCTTCTTGGCAGAGGGGTCGCCTTGACTAGGCATGCATCTCCCTCCTTTGTGCATCTGTTCGCCGTTATCTCTGCTTCTGTAGTACTGAGCGTTCCTTCTCTCAGTCCCTGGGCCTGGGGAAGAGCAGGCACGAGCCTTGACCCTCGGGGCTGCTTCCAGAGCACCTTCTGGCCGCCAGCACTCATTTGAGGTTCACCCTAGCTGCCAGCCACTCCAGATGTGGGTCACGTTTATTTACCAGCCTCCAAGTACTTTGGCTTCCCGTCTGCCTCTCCGTGCCATTCCTGCCTTCGTATTCCGGTGGCATCTTTGTAAAACATCGATGCTTTTTTGTGTGTCACCTTAGTCTCTGGATATACCTTGGGACAAAGACTAAAAAGGAATGTCTTAAAAACCAACACATCGATCACGTCTAGAAGTACATGCAGTATTCCACACTGGTAATTCTCATCTGTGGCAAAGGGAAGGTGATGCAAGTGTGGTCCGTGGAAGAGCGCGGCCTTGTGTTTGCTCTTGGGGTCTCTCCACTCAGGAGTGTTGGCTGTGTGCTTGTTTCCAGTCCTTTGCTGCCAGAAGCACTGCTTGAAATAGTTTGATGGCCTTCATCTCTGTCTCTGACCTCTCTGGAGCATATGCTGAGCAGGGAGATCTCTGCGTGGACATTGTAGTCGCTTTGCTTTCCAGAATGCTGAATGAATTCACAGCTCCACCAACAATGTATTAGTGCATCTCGTCTTAAATCTAACCATCATTCTTTTTTTTTAAAGTATGTTTTACTTTTGTCATCACTCTACCTGTGTTACCTTCGTGATCTTGAACTCTGAAACTCTTCTAACCTCCTGTTGTTTCATCTCTCTTTCATCTTCACTGAATGCATCACTTTATGTATGTGTATGACTTTATATTATCCTTATTAGATTTGACCTCATGGTCTGATCCAGAGTGGGCAGACTACAGACACAGGTAGCAGTCTGACCAGCCGCGGGGCTTTAGGCAAGTGGATTCCAGCCTGCAGCATGAAAGCTTTCTCTGTATCATCTTTGGGTCAATTGCATTTTGCTTTTTTTTTTCTTTTTGGTGAGGCATTCCGGGTTAAGTGACATGCCTAGGGTCACACAGCTAGTAAGTTGCAAATGTCTGAGTCTGGATTTGAACTCAGGTCCTCCTGACTCCAAGGCTGGAGCTCTATCCACTGCGCCCCATAGCTGCCCCCAGTTGCGTTTTTCAAAAGCATACAGACTCTGTCTTTCCCCAAGTCGCTGACAGGCCAAACGTAGGTTCTGAGGCTTCTCAGCTTCCGACCTCTCCCCAGGTTCACATTGAGCCATTCCTGATTACCCTGGTCCATCCAGCCAGCTCAGTAGCCTGACTGTGCTCATCCGTTGACTGATCTTCCGCTTGTTGGTGTTCTCTCCCTCCTCAGATTATCTTGTACTTGTGGAGCTGTCCATACTTCACCTCGCCAAAGTGTAAGCTCCTTGAGGGCAGGGCCCTGGGCACAGCGCCTGGCCCATCGAGAGCACCTGAGGGACAGCCGTGCCGTTGACTTGAATGTTGATAGCCGATTGTTGAGCAAAGCCGCCTGATGGCATTGATCTAGGAGTCTTAGATGATCTTAACATGTGCCTAGAAGCCTTGGTGGCTGCAGAGACATAGGATCCGTAAAGAGTCCTTGATCTTGTCATTTCTGGACCTTTCTGTCCACGGTGAGACTTGGCAGCCGGTCTCTCTAAGGCGCTGGGGGTGAAAGCTTCCCTGCCCCTGTGTGGTCTTTGGGGGGCCCTCGGCAGGCGTGTGGATTATCCTCCTACACGTTTGACAGAGATCCGAAGATACACATGTGACTTACTGGTTTCTGTCTGGTCTCCTTGTTTGCCTTTCTTGGGTAATGGGCGCATCCATGATTTTCCCCCATCTTTAGTATCTTTTTTCGGCCATCTTTTCTTTTTTGAAAATTATTTTTCTCGAGCATTTCTTATCTCTCCCTGCCACATCTCCCACCACTTGGACAATAAGAAACAGAAACATCCCTCTCAGTGGCAACTCTGTCAAGCCCACCAAAGCCAGCGCCCACGTTGGCCGTGTTCAGGGGTGTGGGCCTCCTTGTGCGCCGCAGGCCTGTGATCCCATCTGTCTGTGGCAGGCAGACTGAGCTTGCCTCCTCCTCAGTCCTCTGCACTTGGGGTGCCGATAAGCCGATCAGAGTTCTCCAGGCCTTCCAGAGCATTGTGCTCTGTAACGTCGTTGTCCAAATCGCCGTTCTGCTCCATTCACCTCGCATTGGGACCTAGGGGTCCTCCCTGATCCTCCGTTATATTCATATGCCATCCCTCTTCTTTTTTAGCCTTTGCCAGTTTGTACCCCTCCCTTTCCATTTTGATGCCATTACAAGAAGCTCTCCTACAAAGATCTGTGTCCACGAGAGGCCTTTTCCTCTTTCTTTGTTGTGGTTTTTTTTTTTTTGGCAATTAGGGTTAAGTGACTTGCCCAGAGTCACACAGCTAGTAAGTGTCAAGTGTTTGTGGTCCAAGGCCGGATTTGAACTCGGGTCCTCCTGACTTCAGGGCCGGTGCTCTATCCACTGCACCACCCAGCTGCCCCCGCCTTTTCCTCTTTCTGTAATCTCTTTGGGATGTGGGCCTGGTAGTGCTGAGGCTGGCTTGGAGGATGTGGCCTCAGCTCTGGTCCCCACACAGGACCGTGCCTTTCATTAGCTTGGTCAGTCTGGTGGCCGGAAGCAAGAGCCCCAGTGCTGTTTTTAGTAAGATGTCTCAGCTTGATAGTGATCAGGAGCATTTTCCATGGGTTACTGCCTTTGAAAACGGTTTTGGCCTCTTAGTCATCTTCACTTGGAAGATACTTTCTGCTGGGATCAATTGGGGAAAGCTTCCTGGGAAGCCTTAGCGGAACCTCAAAGGAACAGGAAAATGGGGACTTTTTTTTTCTAATCTACTACATCAGTTGCCCAACTTGTTCCTGCCCTCACTCACCAAATGAGGCCACAGTCCGTGTGGGTGGCGGTCTGCCTATTGGCTTGGTCAGGAGGGTCTTGGTCATTGAGGTAGGATGCCCCCATCTGCCATGGGATGATGTTTCTGGTTACCTTGGCAGACACCGTAGCCCCCACTCTACCCATGCACCCCTCCACCACTGTCTTCTGGTATGGTCTGAACTGAGAAGGTCTTGGTAGGCTGGACCCTTAGAGATCTTTGAGTCCAAGCCATCATTGATGATGGGGCCTTTGTCTATTCCACTGGGCACTTATGCTTCTTTGAGCGTGGCAGCTTAATGATCTTAGGACAGCAGGTTCACAGAGTGCCTGCAGTTAGACTAATGTTTCCTGCTGGTCTAAAAAGCTGGGCTAGGTGTTCAGTCCGTATTTGGTTCTGACCTCGGCTTCCTGGGCTCCTCCCTGTCCCGATGAAATCCTTCACACACTCTCATAGCAGGAGTGGAGGGGGCTACGTGGCCCTTCTGTGTTGCTAAGGTGTCCATCAGCTAATGGCCAGCCCTAGGGCTGGTGAGCCAGCCTGGCTCATCTGCCACCAGGATAACGCCCAGAAGGGCACAAGGAACTCGGGTTCTGGGTACATGTTTGTTGAGGCTAAAGGGCCATTTGATAGAGTGGAGGAAAATAGCCTTGAAGGCCCTCCACCCACCAGCTTCTGTGGTAGGTGGCAGTTGTGGATGTAGCATGCTGTCACAGGAGGCCTCAAGCTGAGAGCTTGGAGGGTTTGACACCCGGCACAGAGTCCAAGTGGAAGGACAGTTGACCCGGTGTCCATCGCTGTGGACGTGCCCAAGGCTGCTGCAGGGCGTTCTCAGGGGTATGTGGAGCCACCAGCCCACCTAGGAGAAACATGTGTCATCTGCTCCTTGACCAGGTGGCCAGTCCAGGGGGTCAGGGCGTCTGGCTGCAGTCCCCGGGGACCTCCACCATGCTCTCCCTCCGAGCGGCCAGTCCAGGGGGTCAGGGCGTCTGGCCGCAGTCCCCCGGGACCTCCGCGGTGCTCTCTGTGGTCCTCAGCTGCTGCTCCTTGATAGTAGAAGTGCTGCATGTCATTATGGAGTTGCTCTCTTCTTTAGGGCTTTCCTCTGGGGCATTTCTCAGCCCAGAAAATTTCTTCAGTGTGGGTGACTTTGGTTTGCTCATATTACCAGCCTCAGTTCTTTATTTGAGACTCTGCTGACCAGACTCTGCCCTCCTCTGCTCTCTCTTTTTTTTTTTTCTTGGCTAGGCAATGGGGTTAAGTGACTTGCCCAGGGTCACACAGCTAGTAAGTGTTATGTGTCTGAGGCCGGATTTGAACTCAGGTCCTCCTGACATCAGGGCCGGCGCTCTATCCACTGTGCCATGCTGCTGTCTTAACCCCTCCTTTTAAAATCGTTGCTTTCCTGGTATGGGTGTGTGCGAGCAGATGAGGGGATACCTCAGTTTGAGAAGAAATGAACTTGCGGGTAGCCCCAGGGCCATGGAGCAGCATGGCCAACCCTCTTCCCTCACCATCTGAGAGAGGGATGGCATCTTGGGACTCTCCAGAAGCTGTGCGGTGATTGGGTGCCTGTGGAGGGCCAAGTCAGGGGGACGTCTTCTGTGAAGGAGGAGTGGGAGAACCTAGAGAATCCTGTCGGCTGAGAAAAAGGGGCCACCCCTGCCCCAGGGGAGTGGCCCCATTAGGGAGATCTCAGTCCAGTCAACTGGTTAGCAGGATTAACAGAGCGCCTTCTTAACACTGAGCAGCCCTTAGAGGTGGGTGATACCATTGTTACTGGGCCCATTTTACAGATATGGAAACTAAGGGTGGGCATCATGGCTGATATTGAACACCTTAAATGTTCTTTCTGCAAAGTGCTTTGTGTCTAATTATCTCATTTGAGAAGTTATGTAGCTGATCCAGGGTCATAAAGTTAGTAAGCATCCATCTCTGTCTCTTTCTCTGTCTCTGTCTGTCTCTCTCTTTCCCCCTCCTTCTCCCCTCCATGCCCCCTTCCCTTTCCCTCCCTTTCCCCCTCCCTCTCTCTCCCTTTCCTTCTCCCTTTCCCCTCCATCCCCCTCCCTTCCTCCGTCCCCCCTCCCTTCCTCTCCCCTTTCCACTCTCTCTCTCTTTCCCCCCGCCTCTCCCCCTACATCCCTCCTCCCTCCCTCTCCCCCTCCCTTTCCTCTCTTCCCCCCTTCCCTCCCTTTCCTCTCTTCCCCCTTCCCTCCCTCTCTCTCTCTTTCCCCCTCCCTCTCCCCTCCTTCTCTCCCTCTTTCCCCCTCCATCCCCCCTCCCTCCCTCCCTCTCCCCCTCCCTTTCCTCTTTCCCCTTCCCTCTTCCCTCCCTCTCTCTCTCTTTCCCTCCATCCCTCCTCCTCTTTCTCTCCCCTTCTCTCACCTCCCTCTCTTTCTCTTTAGGCACTGAAGTATGCCTTTCAGACAAATGACCGCCTCTGTTTTGTGATGGAGTATGCCAACGGTGGGGAGGCAAGTAGTGGCCTGTCTTGGTGATCTTTGGGCTTGGGAAAGGATGCAGGAGCTTGCCAGGCAGGTGTGGCAGTGGGCAAAGGGGTAGATGGGAGTTGAGAAGATGAAGCAGAACTATGAGGGGGAGAAGGAATGGGGGAGGGCCACATAGCAGTGTGTCGTGTCACAAGCCATTTCAGAAATCTGAAAATCCTCTTCCTACAGCCTTGCAGGCTTCCCCTTTCCCCACTCTGCCCTCCTTCCCAAATCCCCACGGCCTCATAGGCTGGATGCCCAGGAACCCCACCGGCTTTACTCTGGACAGCCCATGTCTGTTAGCCCTAATACCTGGGTTTCCCTGAAGCTCTAGATCTGGGGCTGCCCCGTGAGAGTGTGAGCGGGTACACTGGCGTGCACAGGTGGGTTGGGCTTGGGACGGACTCCCCTCACTCAGGCAGCCTCTTTTTCTCTGCCAGCTGTTTTTCCACCTGTCGAGAGAGCGCGTCTTCACGGAGGACAGGGCGCGGTTCTACGGGGCCGAGATCGTCTCTGCCTTGGAGTACCTGCACTCCCGGGATGTGGTCTACAGGGACATCAAGGTGAGCTCCATCCTTGGCTTCGTGGCGGCCAGGGAGTGCTTCCCCCTCACTTCTCCCTTTGCTTGTGGCTCCTGCCCTGTGCAGCCCTCACATACTGGAGAGTTGAAGGCCTGGAGCGTCTTCAGCGCCCAAATCAAGGTCTGCCCGTGTGCCGCTACTACTGAAAGTGGAATTCCCAGAGCACCTCTGGGCTCCATGAATGTTTTCATTATTATGTACTGAATCTAATGTATAATTGTAACATGGGTGTGGGTGGCAAGGTCGCATTCTTCATCACTGGAGGAAACTTCCCCAGCAATGGGGCCGTGCAGCTCAGCCTGGCTCAGTGGCCCCTGGCTTCAGCCCTGTCTGCACCTGGTAGCTATGGGGCCGCTGGGGTGGAGCCTTGGACTCCGACTCATGAAAACCCAAGTTTTGATCCTGCCTCGGACACTGCTCGCTGCATGACTCTGGGTAAATCACTTAACCTCTCTATGCCTCAGTTTCCTCATCTGTACAATGAAGGAGGTAGACCCCATGACCTCTGATGTCCTTTGGCATAAGATCTTAAGACACTGGTGTAATTACTATTATTATCAACATCTGACATTTACATAGAGCTTTGAAGTCCGCAGAGCAGTGTCTGTGTGCGCTGTGCCCGCAGTGCTACGAGGCAGAGGCTACATTCCCATTTTACAGATGAGAGAGCTGAGTCTCTAGGCTCTGAAGTCTTCCTGACTCCAAATCGTGCTCTCTCTGCTGGTGCTGTGCCATCCCTCTGAGCACCCACTGTGTGCAGAGTGCCATGGCAGACAGGCTGGATTGAGCCCAGAAATGGCCGTGCCCACAGGAATGCCCCCAGGCACAGGGCTGCAGGGGAAGGTGCTCAGCTCTGGCAGGTCAGGGCTGACTTCCTGGAAGAGCTGGCAGAAGGGGAGGAGGGCACCCCTTGAGGGCTGGCCCTTGTCCTCTACCCAGCTCGGGCACCACAGCTGGAGGAGGATGTGAAGACTGTCCCCTCCAAGGGAGGGAAGGGCCTGGAGTTCACATTTAGCCCATGGAAGTCTTGGGCCACCTGTGATGGCTGTCTGTAAGGCTCTTGAGTGTAGGAAGAGTCTGCCGTGTTCTGCTTGGCCCCAGAAGGCAAAGGAGCAGGAGCAGTGGGGCTGGGTTAAGCTGGATGTTGGGGAGCTATGCCAGCATGACGGGGCTGAGGATAGCCTGTCAACATGTGGAGAGGAAGAGGCAGGAGGGGATCTGGCCATCCCCGCTCTGCCAGTGGCTGCATGGCTTAGGGCCAGTCACTTAAGCTTTTTGGTCTGGAGGTCCCTCACCAGCAGACTGGAGTGTGGCCAGTGACAGGGACAGGGCACTGGGGGAGAGAGCCACTCTTCTGGAAGCATGCCCCCAGCCATGCTGAGAGGGGCCGCTGCTCCTCAGATGCTTGGCTCTCTTGGGGGACTCTCAGCCTTGTCCCTGAAGGCAGGGCCCCTCCTGCATTGGGCCCCAGGAGCTGGGTTTGCTCCTGTGTTGACCAAGGTCTTAGAAGAGTGGACCATCAGAGCTGGGCAGGTTTGTAGAGAGTGTCGGACGAGCCCAACCTCATCATTTTATGGTTGGGGGAGCTGAGGCCTGGAGGAGGAGGAGCTTGGCCAGAGGCACGCAGGCCCCTGCTGGCCTTCACTCCCACTCCCTTTTCAGCCAGGAAACTGAAGTCACGGGTGTGAATCCTGCCCTTGACCGTCACTAGCTGTGTGACCTGGCCAAGTCACCTGACTTCTCTCCATTACAGTTGCCTCTTTGGTAGAGAGGAGATAATAAAGAACCTCTCTGTGGGGTTATTGGGATCAAGCAGGATAATGTAGAAGGTGCTTTGCCCACCTGAAAATGCTAGGTGAGGCTTAGCCCTGCCTGGGCCCTCGAGGATGGGTAAGCAGCAGTGGAGGGTGGCCCGGGCCTCAGGTGCTTCCCGGGCTCCACCGAGCTGTGTGGCAGCCCCGCGACAGCTCAGGGCCAGGCCCTCATGCCCTCACTTCCCTCCCAGCTGGAGAACCTCATGCTGGACAAAGACGGACACATCAAGATCACTGACTTTGGCCTCTGCAAGGAGGGCATCAGTGACGGGGCCACCATGAAGACCTTCTGCGGCACCCCGGAGTACCTAGCCCCAGAGGTAGCCTGAGAGCCGGGCTGGGGGGGGGGGCGGGGTGGGTCCAGAGAGGCCCCCGCGTGGCTGAGAGCAGGGGTTCCCCCGGGCGCAGAGGGAGGCCCTGACATGCCTTCTTCCTCTCCACCCGCCAGGTGCTGGAGGACAACGACTACGGGCGGGCGGTGGACTGGTGGGGGCTGGGCGTGGTGATGTACGAGATGACATGTGGCCGGCTGCCCTTCTACAACCAGGACCACGAGCGCCTCTTCGAGCTGATTCTCCTGGAGGAGATCCGTTTTCCGCGCACGCTCAGCCCCGAGGCCAAGTCTCTGCTGGCTGGGCTGCTGAAGAAGGACCCCAAGCAGAGGTGAGCCGTGGCGCAGGCAGGGGGGAGATCCTGTACATCTGAGTAGCGGGCCTGACGTAGGAGCCCAGGAAGGAGACACTGAGGCTCTGTGTGTCCCCGCAGGCTGGGCGGGGGACCCCGGGATGCCAAGGAGGTCATGGAGCACCGCTTCTTCTCGGCCATCAATTGGCAGGATGTCTTGCAGAAGAAGGTAACGGGTATTTCCCGGAATCCCAGGGCTCTCCTGCTCCATCCTGCCACCCCTTCCTCTTCCCTCCAGCTTCTTCCCTTCCCAGGATGCTCCTCAGGGAGACCTTCCCCTCCCACTTCCCACAGAGCTTGGTCTGGGGTGCCCCCTTGACTCCCGATTCGCCTCTGGGGGTCTGACTCGGTCATCCTAAAACTGTCAGGTCTCAGCTGCTCTGAGGAGCCAGGGATGAGGCCTTCCTTGGGAGAAGAGGGTGGAGGTGGGGGTGAACAAACAGGGGTCCTGCCTTCCTGGCTGTTGGCAAGAGCGCTGTTCTTGCCACTGACCTTGCCCTCCCACTCTCCCCCAGCTCCCACCTCCATTTAAGCCCCAGGTCACATCAGAGATTGACACACGGTACTTCGATGATGAATTCACAGCGCAGTCCATCACCATCACCCCCCCAGACCGATGTAAGTAAGGCTTCTTTCCTCCTAGCGACGCAGAAAAGTCAGGGTCCCCCAGACCACTCCTGCCCCCAGGAGTGCCACCCCTGCTCGGTAGGCAGCCTGAGCCTCCCGCCCTCTAGATCCCTCCTCAGGCTTTGTGGCCCCCTTTCTCTGTGCTTCCCTAGCCCCTCAAGCCTTTTCTCCTCTAGGAAATACCTCCTTTTTCAGCTGCAGGCCCCTGGCCTCGGGGAGCTTCTGGCCTTTCCTCCTGGCTGGGGCCGGCTGTCAGGGGCCAGCCTCGCTCAGGCGCTCCTCTTGCCTTTTTGCAGATGACAGCATGGGCTCCCTTGAACCTGACCAGCGCACCCACTTCCCACAGTTCTCTTACTCAGCCAGCATCCGGGAGTGACTTGACCGCTGGAGCGGAGCCCATGCAGGATGGACAGGCAGCTGCCAAGGCCACAGGCTGCCTCCCTTTTGGGTCACTTTGCCTCTGGTCCCATCCCCACCCTCACCCACATGCTTTTTTCCTCCTCCCCGGCCTTGTCTCTGAAGGATCCAGCCCTTCCTTCATCTCTCCTTGCCTGGCGCTCACTTGCTAATCTTCCCCCGACCATGGCCCTTCAGCCCTGGGGGGCTCCGGCAGGGAGAGGGCAGGGGGAGTGACTTGGCCCAGGGAGACTTTTTAACCAGGCCACAGGCCCCCCAAGGTACTAAGGACTTGGTAAGGCCAGCTCACTGCTGGCCTCACAGCCTGGAAAATTCTCACGTCCATAAGGGGAACATGGAAGCCCTCCCAGTCCTGCTCCACGTGGGAGGCTGCTGGGCTCCCAGATCTCCTGTGCTGAGCTCTTTTCTCAACGGTCACATGGTAGATGTGGCCAGCCTTGTCCCTCTGGGCACCAAGGAGGTCTCTGCCCTCCCTCAGAGGGGACCCAGGATCCCTTCTCCCTCTGCTGGCTCTAATTGGCCAGGCCTGTGGAGAGCGGTGGTGCTTTATCCTGGATGAGTCAGCCATCAGCCCCTCTCCTTGGGCCTTGACCTCGTGTGTGTATCAGGAGAGTGCCCAGCAGTGGCACCCTCGCCAGCAATGGGCAGGCGTAGCTATTAAAGCAATAATGTCTCGTACCCGAGCAGCCTTAAAGCCGGATGCCCCGGAGCCCTGGTCGGCTCCCCTCTGGCCTGTCTAAGGGCAGGCTTGCAGGGGCTTCTAGGCCCTTCCTCACCAGATGAGATGGCTGGGAGCGACAGGGCTGGGGTGGGGTTCTCATCACCTCCATTGAGGTCAGCTGTAGACATCTCGGGCTGGCCAGAAGGGGAGCAGGCCGCTTTTTCTCTAAGGAGATGCTGGCTATGGGGGCAAGCTTGGGTGAGCTTGGGTAGGCCCCCAGGAGCAGTGGCTCCCCTGTTGGGGACCTGCCTTACCATGGATACAGGGAAGCAGAGGACAGCACTCTTGTCTCTCTGCCCCTTTCCTCCTTCCTGGACACAGCCTCCTGTCCACTGTGGCATATGGCCACCCCACTGGGAACTCAGAACCCTCTCTCCCAGTGCCTTATCTGGATAACGTGATGGCCTCCCCAGAGTGAAAGGTCAAGGCCAGGGAACATCAGGGATTGGAGGCCTTGGGGTGGGGGTGGGGGCCTTGGCTTCTGTTGCGGGGGGGCGGTGATGGAGGCTCTGGTACAGTGTGTCACATCTTCCCCCCACCCCACCATTTTACCCTGATTTCTCTCAGTCTCTTCATCTCTCCCTCCTAGCCCCAAGCATTTTCTGATCCTGTCCCCATTCCTCAGCCTCTTCCAAAGCTGCTGGCTGGGCCAGAGCTTCCGAAGACTGGGGTGACCCAGGGCGGGCCTCCCTGGGCATTCTCCCCTTATCCCTTACTGAAGGCTTCAGGTCACAGCTCTAAGAGGAGGCTGGGCCCAAAAGCTTTTTGTACAAGGTGGCTGCACCCTGAGTCCAGATACAAGGCTGGAAGGGCCAGCTCAGGAGGGCGTTGTGAACTGGGGCCCTGCTTTGGGTTAGGCTCAAGGGTACATTCATCACCCCCCATGTCCCCAAGGACTGGGGTGGGGGGGTTCAGAGCTGTTACAGATTCCTTAATGCAACAGTGTTCAGGCCCCCAGCTCCCAGGGAAGGGGGCGATGGGGGTATTAGGTCAAAGGTCTCGTTCCAGTGCTTTCCTCTGGCCGGGGCATCTGCTCATGGAGGCCCGGGGTTGGTCCCATTTCCCTTTCTGCATCTCCTGAGGCCTGTTGCCTATGCGGTACCAGAAGAGCCTTAAGATGAGACGGGGCAGGGTGTGCTTGCTACAGGGCCCCTCTTCAGCCCTGCCTGAGCCCAAACACTCGGCCCGAGAGGCCTGAGGGGCTCGGCCCTGCACCTCCCTCAGATGTTTCCTTCTGCTCACAATAGACTGATGGGGGGGGGTAATGTTGCTGTCTCCCCCAAACCCATCTTCTACCTTGTGGGGTTGGAAGCAGGGGGGACCAAATGATGGCTCCTCACAGCAGCTACAGCGTGTCGGGCTTGGTGCCCGAGTGTGTGTGAGTGTGTGTGTGTGTGTGTGTGTGTGTGTATACATATACATACATATCTATATGTGTCTATGTTAGGGATAGGTCCTTCCCTAGGACCCTGGGGGTGGGCAGAGCGGGTTAAGGGCTCCTCAAGGCTCAGGGCCTCTCTCCTGCCCCACCCCAAGGACACCTCCCTGGGGCTGCTGCAGCTCACAGGGGGCCGGGGACCTCCTGGCTGCCTTCTTGGGGGTAGGGGGTGTTTTCAGTTTGGGGGGGTTATGTTTTTCCTCATGATGCAGGGGAGGGGACTGGAGGCCAGGGATGGCAAAGGCTTTGTGTGGGGATTTTTTTGTGTTTGTTTCTGTAAATCATTTTAGCTACTTTCTTTCTCTCTGAATTTATACGGTACCAACAATTAAAAAAAAAATTCTGACAAATTGAGTCTGGTTTGGTCTCAGCCCGGGTAGGGCCTCCTGCCAGCTGACTTTTCTTGAGCCCTTGAGGCACAAATTGGGAAGGCTTTGCTTGAGCCGATCCCTGTGGGAGCAGCTGCTTCCAGGATGTGGCTGAAGAGGAGCCCTGCCCACTCAACGTGGCCACGCTTTAGGATGTATCTGGTCAGCGAGTCTGCCAGCACCAGAGAGCTGCTGGTCCTCGGCTTTCTGAGGTCAGTCAGAAGAGATGAGTGCGTGAGTTGAGAGGGTCCTGGGGAGGAAGGTGGCCACTGACCAGTAGAGTCGACAGAGCCTCGTGTGGGACGTGATGCCCGAGGAGGGTTTGAAGGCTGGTGCGGAACAGCCCCAGAGAGCAGAGACATCACAGGCATAGGAGGTGGCCCGGTCCAAGCCACAGAGGCAAGAAAGGCCAGTTTGGCCTGGGCTGGAGTGTGGTGCACAGCCTCCAATGCCAGGCTGAGCAGTTGGCACTACCATCATTGCAAGCTCTGGCCCAGCCAGCAGCTTTGGGGGAGGCAGGAGCATGGAGACCTTGCTCTCTCACAGCCCTCCAGGACAGGTGGGGGAAGGAGGTCAGGGTTATACTTTTGAAGGGACCTTGAAGGCCATCTTGGGGCCTTTCTGTCACCCTCTGCAACATCCGTGGCAGTCTTTATTCTGAGGCATCTGGCGAGGGGACAGGGAGCCTGCTGCCTCCGCTGACAGTGCAGTATTCTACGGGTAGGAAGTCTTTCCTGATTGCAGGCCTCAGCTCGCCTTTCCAGGGCCAAGGGACTGTCCGCTCCTTGCTTCTGTATCCGTGGTGCTCAGCAGTGCTCCTTGCATGCAGGAGGTACTAATAATAAGAGCCATGTGTATATAGCGCCTACTAGTGCTAGGCACTGTGCGAGGAGCTTTTGATCAATACTTGATCCTCACAGCAACCCTGCTCCTATTTTATCCTTGAAGAAACTTGCCCAGGGTCACACAGCTAGTAAGTGTCTTGAGACCCTGAATTTGAACTTGGTTTTTCCTGACTCCAAGTCCAGCCTTCTGTACACTGCCCCACCTAGCCATCTTAATAACACTTCAAGAGGATTCTTTCCTAGATGTTAAAGCCTTTAGGCTCAATTCAGCTCAGATCAATCCCCTTTGCTTTCTTTGGTTCCATAACATACTGACTTTACATTCCACTCAAACACCTGAATCTTTTTCAGACAAATTGCTGTCTTGCTATTGCCTCTGCCATCCTACGCTTGGGAAGTTGACTTTTTGAACCAATGTGTGACTTTACATTGATCTTTACAGAATTTCACCAGATTTGATTTTGGCCCACATTCTAGCCTGTCAAGATCTCGTTGGACCTCGGCCACTGTTATCTGGAGTGTTTGCTTTCCGACTGCAGCAGATAGAAGCATTCTACCCAGACCTTTATCCAAATCACTGATAGGCACATTATAAGGTTGTTCCTCAGCATGAGGCCAAGCCCAGATTCCTGGGGTGCTCCTCTAGATTTGAGGTGGATGACTGCTGAGGTCCAGTAACCCATGAACACGGGATTTCAACCTTCTCATCAGGTTCATTCTGATCTTTCCCCATCTGAAACTCCCCTTCCCAAGAGAAAACAGGCCCACAATGGGAATAAAGGAGCTGAGCCCTCTCACTGCAGACCACCATCCTGAGCCATCTAGTCCGAATGGAGATCTGGTCCCAGATCCTCTTTGGAGCTCACTGCCTGGCTTCCCCGCAGGTCCTTGGGCCCCAGGACCACTTTCACCTAGAGCTCTGGAGCGGGAGTTTAAGGATCTGAGCTGAATCCCAGCTGTGTGACCATGGGCAAGTCACAGCTTAGAGAAGTTGTCTCAGTTCTTGGAAAAATGAGGGTGTCGGAGCAGATGGGCCACCTAAGGCCAATTCCAGATCTGAGTCCTACGACTTTAGGGGAAAGAGAGAGACACTTGGCATAATTCCAGACCAATAGGGACTGAGCACTTGTTCTGTATTGATCTGGCAGAGATGGAGACCTGGCTGTGAATGCTGTGATGGCTAGCAAGGCACACTTCCCATCTTGGCCTGTTTCCTCTCCAGTACACGGAATTTGCTAATATTTGCTCAGTCTACCTCACAAGGGCCCTGTACATCTTAGATCGGTGGGCCCTGTTCCTGTTAGGATTTCAGTGTGGAGGTGGCATTTCTGTCAGTACCAGCCATGGCTTCTTAGGAGGAGAGAGGCCTTGGGAAGGAGATGGGGGTAGAGATGTTTGCAGAGACTTTCAAGTAGGGCTTTCGTGACCCCTCCTGCTGCCAGCCCTTCCTGACCCCCCCACCCCAACCCCAGGCTGGGAGCACCCTCACTCTCCCAAAAACACTTCCACTGTGTGGTAGCTACTTATAGCTCTATCAATCAACAGGCATTGATTAAGCCCCTACTGTGTGCCAAGCACCATGCTAGGTGCTGGGAAGACATTAACTGGTCTCTGCCCTCAAGTAGCTTTCTTTCTATGGAGGGAGATACTTGCATATTTAAGCATATGTAGACTGACTACAAAACAAAACAAAGGAGTCAGAGAGGTAGGGATGGTGCCAGCAGTTGGAGGGTCAGGGAATGTTTCCAGGTCCAGTCTGGAAGGAAGAGAAGAAATCTGTGCTGCAGGGGGAGGAAGGGGCAGATTCCAGGAGCCTAGAAGAACGAATAAAAGGGCGTGGGAGTTGCCAGTGGGCCTGGAGAGATCTAGGAAGGGCAGGGATGAGGAACGATGCCGGCAAGGTAGACCAGGGCCAGGTGGTGAAGTACTTTAAACAGAGGGGCTTAAACAGGCAGTAGGGAGCCCGGGGAGTTTATTTGGTAAGGGAGTGACACAGTCAGATCTGCACATATGGAAGACCACTTCGGCAGCTCCCCAGAAGATGATCAGAGAGAGGAGATCAGAAGACCCAACGAGCCAATGGCATAGTCAGTGTGAGCGGGGATGAGGACCTAAAGGGGTGTGAGCAGAGAGCATGGGAACGCATTTCTCTTTCATTGCCCCATAAAAAAGCCAGCTTTTTGAGACAAGGGACAGGGGCAGCTAGGTGACACAGTGGATAGATCTCCGGCCTTGGTATCAGGAGGACCTGAGTTCACATCTGGCCTCAGACACTTGACACCAGCTGTGTGACCCTGGGCAGGTCACTTAACCCCAATTGCCTCACCAAAAAGCAATTAAAAAAAAGAGAGACAAGGGAGAATATGCAAGCTCAAAGAGGTTGCAGGGACGTCAAAGATCAAACTCTAAGCTGGAGTCAGAAGTGGAATGAGGACTAGGGCATCTCCCTATCCCAAGTGCTTTACACTTTCCTCTACAATGGGATCCAGCTGGAGAGGATATACTCCAAGTCAGGAAGACTCGAGTTCAAATCCTGCCTTGGATACTAGCTTTGTGACTTTGGTCAAGTCACTTAACCTATCTGCTTCAGTTTCCTCATCTGTAAAGTGAAGAAAATAACAGCACCCACCTCCCAGAACTGTTGTGAGGATAAAATGAGCTTCATGTTTGTAAAATGCTTAAAGAGCTATATAAGCATGTAGCTGTTGCTCAGTTGTGTCTAACTCTATGTGACCCCATTTTGAGTTTTTCTTAACAAAGATACTGGGTTGCTAGGTGGCGCAGTGGCTAGAGTGCTGGGCCTAGGGTCAGGAAGATTCATCTTCCTGAGTTCAAATCCAGCCTCAGACACTTATTAGCTGTATGATGCTGGGCAACTTGCTCGATGCTATTTGCCTCAGTTTCTTCATCTGTAAAATGAGCTGGAGAAGGAAGAGGCAAACCGATTCAGTATCTTTGCCAAGAAAACCTCGAATAGGGTCATAATGAGTAGGGCACGACTGAAAAACGACCAAACAACAATGGCATTTTACAGATGAGGAAACTGAGGCAAACAGGATGAAGTGACTTGACCAGGGTCACACCAGCTAGTAAGTGTCTGAGACTAGATTTGAATTCACTCTGGACTCCAGACCAGCGCTCTATGCACTATGGCGCCACCTAGCCACCCTATTTATTACAAATAAACACTAAATAAAAATTCTAGCTATTCTTAATCAGAGGTCCGACCATTAGAAAAAAACCAACCAGGCAGGGCAGTTACATTGTAACCAAGCAGCAAAGACTCCACCTGAAAACCTGACGGCCCCCGCAGGCAAGCCGTCACTGGCCTGAATCTGGAACGGCCAATCAGCACCGGGAGCTACAGAGGAGCCAATCATGGCCACGCCTTGCGGACCACGTGAGCACCAAATAGCCCGAGGCCCTTGCCTCCCGCTGTGACCAATTAGCGTGGTAGCTGTGGGTAGCTAATTGGAGCGGGGCGGATTACATTGGGACCAATGGCCCCGCTTCCCGGGAATTTTCAAGGGGGCTTGCTAGAAGGTAGGAAGAGAGAGACCCGTCCCCGCACTCATTAAAAAGGCACAGCCCAAAGCCCCGCCCCAGCTCTGTGGCTCGGTGCTTGGCGAGGATGTCGGTGAGCCCCGCTGCTAGGGAGGAGCTGCGCCTCTCCTTCCCCCCCCACCCCATCCCGGGCGCGTCTGACTCGGGGGCTTCCCTCTCCTTGCAGAGCCCTGTCAAGTCAGCGCCCCTAGAAAAGCCTGTCGCCGCTGCCACCCCAGGGACGGCGCCTGCTGGTAGGAGCCCCAGGCCGACAGCTCGCGGACGGGCCGGTCCGTCTTAGTAGTGAGCCACATGGCCATCATCGCCTTCCTCCGCAGGTCGTTCGCAGAGGGCCGCGCAGCCGTGGCCGCCCCCCGGGCTCGCCGAGGCGCTGACCACGCTGGGGCTGGATGGGGAGCGGGAGTACGCGGGAGATATCTTCGTCAGTGTCATGGTGAGGCGGGAGGGAGGTGGGCGCCGATTGGACTCAATGGCCCGTCCCGATTGGCTAGAACTCGATCCAGTTGTCAGCGGGACGGTTCTTACTGGGGCGCCTGGGGCCTGAACTGATTGATGATAGCTCACTACCGTCCCTGGCTTCCCCCCACCCCCACCCCTAAGTCTGAAGGTGAAAACGGGCTTCTTTGCCTGTATTGTTTTCCAGCAGCCGGGCTCGAAGCTTCTAATTCGATGGAGCTGGTGTCTGCCCACTTATTGGCTCCTTCCAGAGGAGTCAGTGTTTGGTCCCAATGCTTGAAATATTTTTTTAGTAAATTAGCATTTATTAAGCGCCTACTGTGTGCCAGGCACCGTGCTAAGCGCTGGAGAAAAGCAAAAGACAGTCCCCGCTCCCAAAGAGCCCAATCTGATGGAGGAGACAGCATGCAAATCACTGTGTACAAACGAGATGTTTTCGCCTCTTTCTCTGGTTTGCCCCTGTGCTTAAGCCTTGGGGAGTGGACTCCGGGCCAAATTCTCCCTACTGCTCCCACCCCAGGCAGGCCAGGCGCTCCCCAAGACAGACTTGCCTCGTGCGGTGACCGCGGAGATGCGTGCCCTCGTGGTAGACTGGCTGGTGCAGGTGCACGTATGTAGCGGGGATCAGGGCCTGAGTGGGTCCCCGGGTCGGGCCCCGCCCCTGCGGCCGACCTCAGGCCTCTCCCTTCCCCTCCTCAGGAATACCTGGGCCTGGCTGGGGACACTCTCTATCTGGCCGTGCACCTGCTGGATTCGTACCTGCGCGTGGCACCCGTGCGGCTGCGCCACCTGCAACTGCTGGGGGTCGCCTGCCTCTTCGTGGCTTGCAAGGTGGAGGAGAGTACCCGCCCCGAGGTAGGGACGGGACGGGAGGGGAAGGGGCAGAAGGAAAGGAGGGAGGGAGTGAGGAGGGCTGGCGGCCCCTGAGGTAGGACTGACTGGCCTGCCTGTTCCCATCTCCCTGCCCCCTCCCGCTCGGTTTCCCTAACCCCCACCCCAGCCAGCCTCCCTGTGCCTCCTGGGCGCCGGCTCCTTCTCCCCGGCCCAGCTGCTCCGCGCTGAACGGCGCCTCCTCAGCCGCCTGAACTTCCAGCTCTACTACCCGGGTCCCCTTCTCTGCCTGGGCCTGCTGGCCGCCCTGGCTCGGAGCCGGCCGCGGGTGAGCGGGGTGAGACTGACGAAGAGAGACTGGGCGGACGGGGCGCGGGGAGCCGGAGCCTCCTCCTGAGTCCCAGTCCTCTCTCAGGTTGTGCTCTTGGCCACCTACTTTTTGGAGCTCTCTGTCCTGGAGGCCGAGGCCGCGGGCTGGGAGCCGGGCCGTCGGGCTGCTGCAGCCCTAGCCCTGGCCCAGAGCGTGCTCCTGCACGAGGGAGGAGAGGGCCCCGAACTGGGTCTCTACAGGTATTGCTCCTTGCCCCAGCTCCACCACTAGAACGTGCTTAGAGATCCTTAGAGATGGAAGCGCGCTTAGAGATCCTCCCTGGGCAGAAGGGGAAAGTGGGGTTTCCCCAGAGGGGACAGCAGGGCCCTCGGGGAAGGGCCCCCTCCACCCTAGCCTCGCTCACATCTCTCCTTTCCCTCATCCTTGCCCCCATCCTTGCCCTCCCTTTGCAGCAAGGCGGAGCTGGGCCCCATCGAGCCGTGCATGGCCCGAGCAGCGCTGCGGGGTCCCGCCCCCGGTCGGGCTGCTGTCTTTCTCAAGTATGCTCGACCCCAGAGGCAATGCATCAGCCTCACCGCCGCCCGCTTACTCTCCAGGACCTGCCCCGCGCCTCCCTGAGCTGGGGGTGGGGGGGGGGAGAACAAGGAGAGGGTCTTATAAAAAAAAAAGTTATACATCTGTGTATCTGCACTTCTAATAAAAACGTTGTTTTTAAATTCTGTCCTTTTCCTATTTTCTGTTCTCCTTATTCAGATGCTTCCCCTACCCCCCCCCCTTCTCTGGCCCCTCCATAATTCTCCTCGACCTTAGCTTCCCAGCAAGGAAAAAACTCGAGAGATGGACTTGACGTGTCTGTCTGGGGCCAAGGGGAGCGGAGTGGTAGCATCCCTGCGGCTTTTCCCGTTTTCCTCACCCCCTCCCGTTGCATCCCTACTAGGAGTCCGGTAGGGAGAGAGAGCCCCGTTAACAGGGATGCTTGGGGCCTGCGAACAGGCCCAAAGGATAAAGGGCCTGGCTGAAAATCTACTGCTGGGTTCCGTCTTCCGGTATCCGAGTTCCAAAACGGGGTTGCTTGGGATTGCCTCTCCTTTGGGGGGAGGGGGAAGGAAAGCGAGAAAATCGGGATTTAGGGCTTAATTTGGAGTGGTGCATTTGAGGTAGAGGGAGGCGTTGAGAAAAGATTCCCCAGCCCCGCAGGAGTGGCCGAAGCCCGTGAAGGCGGCGTCTAGGGTGGGGATGGGCTCCCCGCCGTTGGTGATGCGGCGGCTGTAGTGCCGCGAGTTTCCCACAATGCAGTGCGGTGCGCTGTCCCCGGTGCTGATGCTGAGTGCAGCCCCTGAGCCTCCGCCTCGTCCGCCGCCCTCCCGTTCCCCACCAGGCTCGGGCCCCCGCCATGGTCCGGGCCCGGAGGCCTCGGGAGGCCCAGGCGGGGGAGCCCTGGAAAGCAGCCTCCGAGCCGCCGTGGCGTTCAAGGCCGACGGCCAGCGCTGTTACCGAGAGAAGAAGTTCCGCGAGGCTATCGGCAAGTACCACCGGGCGCTGCTGCAGCTGAAAGCGGCACAGGGAGCCCGCCAGCCCGGCCCAGGCCCCAGCCCCACGCCCCCGCGGCTCAGTGAGGAGCAGCGGCGCCTCATGGAGAGCACGGAGGTGGAGTGCTATGACAGCCTCACTGGTACGGCTGGGGCCTGGGGGAAGGGACAGGAGGGCCCCCGGGACTGGGGAGGCTTCGGGGACCTCAGGCGCGGAGGGAGGAGCGGCCAAGTGGAAGCAGAGGCCAGGCGCGCCCGACCCTGGGGTCCCTGGAGTCAGGGAGGTCCAAAGGGGGGGGGCGCAATAGACATCTGGGGGGGAGGGGGCCTTCTGGGCTTCCCCAGGGCCAGAGTCCGCCCCGCTCCCCTCCTCCCCCCTACCCCTCGACTGCTCTCCACCCTGCCCACTTCGCCCGAGTTATCCTCGCTCAGTCCAGCGTGGTGGGCAGGGAGGAAGCGGGAGGACCTGAGGGAAACCACAGCCACACACCTCGAGGGACTTGGCTAAGGCCGTCCAGGCTGGGCCGACAGACTGGACCTTTCTCTCCAGCTCCCTCTAGCGGCAACGCGAATTGGTTCTGGTCCCATGTGGCAGTTAATTGGCTCCCTCAAGGTCCGGAGCCCTAGGACCCTTTTACGCTTTGACATCCCTAGAGGCTGGCTGCTCCGATTGTCTCTAATCTCATTCAGCCCCATTTGCCCTGTGCCCGCGTGGCTCCCTCTAGCGGCTGCCTGAGTTGATGTCCTAAAGATCCCATTCCGCCCGGCTCCGCACCCCCAGCAACTGCCCCTCTCCCCGTCCACACCCCTTTATTCTCGGCTTTCCTCTAGTCGTCTCACCAGCCCTCTACAAATGGGATTCCCAAGCACCATATGCCCCGGGCTGCGTATTCCGATGGGTGCATTTATGAATTAGAGGGGTTAATGGGGAGGGGCTGGGCTCGGGGGAGCTACTCTGACCGTCCCGCCTCAGCGTGTCTGCTGCAGTCGGAGCTGGTGAACTACGAGAGGGTGCGGGAGTACTGCTTCAAGGTGCTGGAGAAGCAGCAGGACAACTTCAAGGCCACTTACCGGGCAGGCATCGCCTTCTACCATCTGGGCGACTACAGCCGCGCCCTGCGCTACCTGCAGGAGGCCCGGAGCCGGGAGCCCACAGGTGAGAGCCACCAGTGAAAGGCTGGGATGGGGAAAGCAAGGGACTGGCAGCCTGGAAGACTCCGGTTCGAATCCCACCTCCAACGCCTGCCGGTTTTGTGGCGCTGACCCAGTCACTTACCTTCTCTGAGCCTCAGTTTCATCATCTGTAAAATGGGATCGATAATAGCATGGACAGGATTGTCACGAGGAGATGAAGCTTAAAGAAGATGTAAGGAAAGGGCTTTTGTAGACTTTAAAGCTCCATATAAGCGTGAGGGGCTATTATATTATTCTGGCTAGTGAGAATCGGGAGGTGGGGGAGGAAGGGAGAAGAGGAAGAGGAGAAGGCAAAGACAACTCCCCCACCCCCACTCCCACCCAACAAGGACCCAGTCAGATATAAAGGGAATGGCATCCCCCTCCCAGGCAGACACCTTTCCCAAGGCAGAGACCCCCACCCATATTGAGGGGAGCCCACGCACACCCAGACGCAGATGTTTTCTGTGCGCACGGAGACTTGAACATACGGACACACACACACGGAGGGGGTGAGGGGGGGAAGATATCACCCCACCCCAGATCTAGACGCCTTCCCACATAAACTCAGGCAGTCACCGAGCCTGACTAAATACAGAAGCACAGAGACAGTCACGTGGGGGGATTCCGCCCATCTATCCAGAACCAGACTTAGGTCGTTCTCCAGTCCCTCCCCACGAAGACTCACTCACCTAGGCATGGAAACGCTGCCCCACCCCCGCCTAAATACGCACAAAGGCAGCCACAGTTTCTTCTCAAAGCCCTAACCCTTCCGCCCGCTCCCACACACCAAGAGTCCCACATCTCCCATCCCCACTCCGCCCCCTGGGCCAGAGAAGCTAAGACGGCCAAGCACCTGGGCTGGCCCCGCCTGCGGGCCGGCCCCCCAACGTGCCCTTCCCATACGCAGACACCAACGTCCTTCGCTACATTCAACTGACCCAGTTGCGGATGAGCCGGTGCAGCCGAGAGCGAGAAGGTGGGAGCAGCGGGGGTCCCGCTCGAGCTCGAGATGTGATTGGCTAATCCACTGGCCTCACTCCTGGGGTCCCCCTCCCCAGGCCCGTGTCGCGTGCTTTGTGTGAGACTTGGGAGTCCAGCCCTGGGAGGAGCAGGGGGAAGGGGTGGGGAAGCTCCTGCCCACTGATGCCAACTTCCCGTTTTGCCCCTGCCTTGTTGGCGGCTTCTATTTATCCGTGACTACAATGAGGGTGATCGCCCCTGGCTGGACCCACCGAAGGGGGCTGTTGTGAGGGTCCCAAGATAATAAATGTGAAAAAGTTAACGGTAAACCAAAAGTGTGAGGTGGTGGTGGTGTTATCTAGGTGGCCAGGGTGGGTCCTCCACACCTGGGTATTAGGGTGGATCGGCCCCTCCCCCCTCCCACTGGTGGGAAAGATTTGGCAATGAGGCAGCCCCCCTCCCAGACCCAAGTCCCATCAGCTGACAGCAGAGTACAAGACAAGAAACTTATATTAGCCAGACTTTCCCCTCCCACCCCCCTTCCCCAATAAATACATAGCATCAGTCCCTGTATGGGCCTCTCTCTGCCCCATGGGGGCAGCACCCGCAGGCCAGGGCTGTACATTCAGTGGGAGACATCGGCCTCAGGGTCAGAGAAGGTGGGCACGGCCCCACACAGGGGTACTGTGCTGTCCTGGCTCTGTCCTTCTGTGTCCATGTCAAGCAGGCTAGGCTGGGGCCCCGGGGTGCCTGGTGTCCCGGGTGCAGGAGGGGAGGAGCCGCTGAATGTTCTGTTGAAGGAGACCAGTTTCCAAGGGTCAAGCCGTGGCCGGCTGGCAGCTGGCCTTGGCCGAGGGGCAAAGGTCAGAGTGGTGGGCCGGCCTGGGTGCTCTGGAGGAGGCCTTCGTCGAGGGGGAAACAATGTCTGGGGGTCAGGCAGGCGGGGGAAGTCCAGGGGGTCCCTGGGGACTGAAAGAAGAGAAAATTGGTCCGGGAGGGGTTTTAGTGGCCGAGGCCTAAAGCTGTCGGCCCAAGGCAGACCTTCCCAACCCAGCTTCTCTGCCCCCCATTCTAGTAGTGGGGCTGGGGCCAGCCCAATGCAGGCCACTTCCCACCCTGGCCAGGGTTGTACAATCACGTCCTGGAGACAGGAAAAACAGAACTAAAAGTCTGGACTGGATTCTAGGCCTGGCTGTCCCCCTACTCAGTCTGTGACCTTAGGCACATCCCATGCCCTCTCTGGACCTCAGCTTCTTCTGTGAAATAAAGGGATCGCACCCAGGGGGCCTGGACAGTCTCAGTTTGAACTGACTTCCTATTTCTAGATATTCCCGTGCCCACTCTGCCACCATCCGGGATCTCTGTATTGGCCTGGGCCAAAGCAGCAAGGGGAAGGGGATGAGGGCTCAGACAGGGGCCCTACCCACTGGTGCTCTCCAAGCTTGGGGGAGGGACTCCCTCAGGCCTGGGGACCTGGTACTGGGTCCAGACAATCCCATCTTGTTATGCCCAAGGCAAGCTCAGACAATGGACAGTGAGGGATAAGAAGGGAGGTTCTGTGTCAGGGCGAAGGGCAGAGGAGCAGACCAAGGTCCCTGGCCTGGGCCTGAGGCCGCACCATCCACTTGCTGAGCCATGGCTCCTCCCAGGCCAGGAGCTGCCCACTCCCCAAGACCCTCTGCCCACAGAAGCTCAGGTGGGCTCCTGTCCCATCCAACTGTGAGCAAGAGTTCTTTTGCTAATGTCCTCCACGAGGAGCCACCCACTGTCCCCTCCAGCACCTAGGAGCCCTGTTACAAAGCGGCCCTTTCCACCTGGAGAAGTTCTTCCCTTTCTGGTGGCACAGCCAGGGTGCTTTGCTGCTAGTGGAACCCTGGGCCTCAGTTTCCTCCTTTGACCCCCCAGCTCCCATGCAAGCGGGCCCCTGGCCCTCACCCTCTGGTCCTGGTCGGTGGCCTTGCACCAGCTGCCTCAGGGCCCCGTCTGACGGGGTCCGGCGGTGCCCTCGGCTCACAGCCCGGGCAGCGGTGACGTGAGTAGGGGTGAGCGACTGGCGGGGGTCCTTCTTAAAGCTCTCCACCTCCAGGTCCACCAAGGGGTTGGTGGCAGGTGTGCTTGGAGGGGAAGTCCCTACGACCATGGCTGGGGGCCCTTCGTCACTGTCTGAGTGAATCAGCGATCTAGTGGAGTTGCAGTCAGAAAGGGAGGACAGGGAGAGGATGGTGGCTGAAGGCACCAGGCCAGGGGCAGGGGGCAGGGGGGCCTCTTCCCCTGCCCCTCTCCCGTGGCAGCGGGCCCTCCGTCCAGGTGGGCTGGGTCCCCGGGGGAAACGAGTAGTCCGGGGGAAGAGTCCATCTCTCCACCAGCGAGGCTCGTCATCTCCATCAGCCGCTTGGGCCTCTGCCATGTCACTGCCCAAGGCCACGGCCCCCAGGATGGTGGCGCATCTCAGCAGTGCCAGCTCACTCCGCTTCCGGGGGGCCCCACCCCGTCCTGGAGGGGCTGTTGCAGGGTGAGGTGGTTCCCAGGGGCTGGTGGGGGCCTCAGCAGGCAGAGGTAAGGTGAGGTAGGATGGGGGAGTGTAGGGGGAGGGGGGCACACTGGTCCCATCAGCTTCTGCAAACTCTTCTGTTGTGGGGGAGCAGGGATAAAAGAGAAGAGGTAAGTTGGAGGCCCCTGCTTCACTGGGCTTCCTCCCATTCCCACCCCCAAGGCTCCTCCCTGCCTGCCCCCTGTCCCTCGCAGTCCCCTATTCCCTCCCCACCTTGCCCTTGCCCTGGCCCTCACCCATCTCTGTGAGGCTGGAGAAGCCAGGGGCCATGGGCATATGTTTGGGAGACTTGCCCAGGTTCGGGGCACTGGAGGACCACTGCTTACTACCCTCCCCTAGGGCCTTCAGCCTGCAGGGGCAGAAATTGGAAAGCTGAGGAAGATGGCCTAGGACAAAGAGCCTTGTGACCCCAGCCGCTCCCACCCAGAGGGGTAGCTGGGCTCTCCTGCTGGCTGTGCCCTGAGCCCATATGACCTTGGACAAGTCGCTGCCCACTTTGTGCAGTGAGGAGTCGGGACTTGGGCGGTCTCTTGTAGCTTCAGCGGTCTGAGAGTCTACGAAATGCCACCCCTAGGTCTGATAGGATAGAGGGAATGGAAGAACTGGGGAACGAAGGAAATAACGCAGTGTTAGGAGTCGAGAGGTCTCGGTTCAGATCCCAGGGCTGCCACATCCGAGGGCCACAGAGCCACTCTCTGGAAATTGGAGGGGCCAGACTAAGTGACCTCTCCCTAAGACCCTCTGAGAGTCCTCTCCTCCACACCCCCTTCCCCTCTGGTCCAGCCTCACCTCTCTTCCCCACCAAGCCGCTCTTTCTGCAGGGTGGAGCTAGGACCCCATGTCCGGCCCTTCTTCCTCCCGGTGACAAGTTCCTCCTTCTTCAGGGTCCCACTGCGGCTGCTGGTGTTCTCTATAGGTGTCACTGGGCCGGTGAAGCCGCACCCCCCGATCCCCAAGAGGAAAGTGAGCAGGGAGGGCAGAGGAGTGACCATGCCCTGGAGAGTGGATTCGCCCACCTCGATGGCCCTGTCTCTTTCCCTTCCCCCCCACCCCATCCCCACCGGGTGCAGAAGCAGGATGTGCATGGCACTCACAGCGGATGGCCCGGAGCCGAGGGATGATGCTGGGGCTGGCAGGGGGGCTGACTCCTTCAGGTCCCAGCCCTTTCCGCTTGTCCAAAGTCGTTGGAGAGGCTTGGACGGTGATCTTGTGCTCAAAGCCTGGAACAGGGGAAGGCTTTAGTACCATCTCCCTGGCCCAAAGCCCCAGACGATTCTGTGTTACCACGTATGGGGCTGCAGACCTCCAGCCGGGGTGCGGGGGACTACTCACACAGCGGCATAGTCCATGAGGGGACAGCTGTCACGCTTAGGACGCTCTTTGATGGCAAGCCTACACAGCTACAGCCCAGGCAGGACGCACAGTGAATCCCCTCAACACCTAAGCTATCCACATTCCCACTGCATCTTTCCATTGGGCCATAAACAATGACTACATTTTACAGAATGATAACTTCGCGGAGTGAGAATCTGAACACATGCCACGGCTTTTCCAGAGTCATCATTCTCATTAATGGCCTTGGCACTATCTACTCCTCATGCTCCTGGCTCTGCCCTCTGGACAGGACAAACAAGCCTGATCCCTCCTCTCCAGGACAACCCTTCAGATTGCATGAGACACCCATAGGGTTGCGCCCTTGCCACGTTTTTTCCAGGCTAAACTTGGACTGCCTATGGAGATGGAAAGAGGGTCTACAGGCCTTCCCATGGGTCACCACTGAAAGGGGGCAGTCGTGGGTGACCCAAGAAGATCTCTGAAGGAGGGACTAGGATGGTGATCGCAAGGATCCAGGGTGGGGGGTCCCAACGCCTGGGACCCAGTTCCAGCTAGGCCCAGGGCTCCTAGAGTGAACTTGGGGAGTCAGCGCCTGCTCTTCAGTACCATCTCTAGATGAGAAAAATGAGGGGCCTAGACACAAGGGGCTCTACCATCCCCAGCTCTCACGCTGCATGTTCTAAGGCACAGGATTCAAACACAGAGAGAGCCAAAGGGCCCCCGGAACCAGATCAAAGTGGAATTGGGAAATATTAAACAAAATAAATAAAAATATAATAGAACATAGATAATCTTACCATATGGTGTTCTAAGTTAATATGTGGACTGCAGGAATCCCTAGGTGTGGTTTACTATGTTGAGTTTGACAGGCAGGTCAAAGATCCCTCCCAGCTCCAACATCCTTTGTTTTAAGGGCCCTCCCAGCCCTGACATTCCCTGTTCTAAGGGCCCTCCCAGCCCTGACATTCCCTGTTGTAAGGCCCCTCCCTCCCAGCTCTGACATTCCCTGTTGTAAGGCCCCTCCCTCCCAGCTCTGACATTCCCTGTTGTAAGGCCCCTCCCTCCCAGCTCTGACATTCCCTGTTCTAAGGGCCCTCCCGGCTGGGACAGTCTCTGGCTCTGGGCTCTCAGGATTCTCAGGGCTGGCTTTCTAGGAGCAGCTGCTACCTGAGGGCAGGCTGATGTTGTTGCTGTCCCTCAATTTGAGGCGGCTCCGCCTGAAGTGGCCCCGACGCTTTTTGACACGAGGCCGCTCCTGGCTCAGCTGATCCATGAGCAGGTGCAGCTCGCGCCCCACGATGTCCATCTCGCGCTCAGCCAGCTCCTGCTCCCGCCGCCGAAGCTGCTCCTCCTGCCACTTCTGCTCCTGGGCTGCTCTCAGGAGTTCTTCCTCCCGGCTCCGGAGCTCCTGGGACATGAGGGGGGGGGCAGGCGGG